CACTGGCATCATAATATTAAACGTCAATGGCCATCTGAGTATGAGAAGCCCGACTAGGCTTTAAACTTGGTATGCGTAAGCGCAACTATTTTTGTGGGCAATTATTGTTTCCTGTTTAATACCAATGATGGATGCAAATTGGCTGAATTTGACAGCATTATCAAGTGCGGCATGCAAGCAGTACGGTTTATGCTCGACAGATTGCTCCGTAGTCGGGTATTGGTTTTAAGAGCGGACGAATGTCGTCACTTTCGAGAAAAACGCGTCCAATCACTGTCGTTAAGGTTCACTCCTCACTGTGCATGAGAGCTGTCAATATCTCTGCAGAGATCGACGTCGTCGTCGTCGTCATCCGTCGTCACGTGAAACGTTGTTTCTGTATTCGTGGACCGTGTGTCCGCGTCACATCAAGTAGCGGTTCGATCTGTGTCTTGGTCTTCAGTAAAGTTCAGTAAAGTGTGACAGCGTTGATGCGTCAATCAAATCGTCGGTTGACACATCCGTCTTGTCTGGTTAGTCATCTTTTTCAACGTCTGTCAAAACAAAGATGACCATTTTTAACGACCGTAATATGACAACGCTGGTGACGCCGATGTTCAAGTACTGACGTCGCTCTCTGCTCTCATTGGTCCAGTCGTTGTTGTGTGCAGTCACACGTCACGTTATCGCTGCTCTCAACCTCAAAAACTCTCTTGCACACGCAACCAGGGCCGACCCCGTTAAATGCCACTTCCAATCGATTATAAAGGCAAGTGTATGGAGATCATATGCGCAAGCCGTCTGTAGTAATTCCGGACCACGCGTTTACACAGGGAATGGCCCATGCGCATTGTAACAGCTTCAAAAGTCCTGATTGACGTCAACAGATCTATTATACACACGCCCACAGTTGACAGTGGAAAAGTCACATGACTTTAAGAACCAATAAACGCTCAGTAGGTGCACGTGACGCACTGCGGGGACGAGTCAAAAATCATCGATTGTTTCGGAGGTGTGGAAATTATGAAAAAGTCCCTTGATAGCGTGGTGCCCTGCTACTAGGAGGGCATTTCCACGCATGTGACAATCATAAACCCGCAGGCAAAACTTTATGTCTCGCAACATTAACATCTTCGTTGTCACGCAAAGCTTGCTGCGTGTGCACGAATCTGTCTGTGAAACACTAAACCGGCTTAAGTCCATGTATAAATTATTCCTCTCTATTGACGATAAGCATTCGCCACCCTCCCTTTGGGTTTTCACGGTAAAAAAAACAAATTTCGCCCTGCCCTTTGTCCAATAGTACAACTGTTCTCTGTCCATTTAAGCAATGTCGCCCTTATCGCATGTACCACTGTTCCTGTTCACATAAACTGCCCACCCCTTACACGTAGCGCACTGCCCCGCCGACCCATTCCATGTACAAGACTGCCCTCCCTGCAATCATCCTATATTACAAACTACACAATTAACCTGGTGATGCTGCTACACTAGGTGAAGGACGTTTAGGAAAAGTATGTGTGCCAGCCTGTTCGGATCAAACAGGTTTAACATCATCTCGTTCTGCGAATGTGCGCGCCTCACTCTCGCACACCGACATTCAACAACAACCGGTTGGAAACGGCGAGAGACCTCCGACCCGGAGCTTTATGTGGCGACTTCCCAGTGGGTCAACGGTACGGCGCCACGAGGGCGCATCAGCGGGACGACCGCGGCGGTGAGCACTCACCTAGGGGGCGTTTACAGCTTCTGGCCGTTTGCGCGCACGAGTTTCCTCGCTCGGCGGGTCTGCTCCAGAACCTTCATCCTCGAGTATGACAACACGGAACGTGGCATTACACGAAACGCATCGTTCCGCCAAACGAACGACCATCCTAATCTCTGCGTGCAACCTCGATTGTCTGCTTGTCACAAAGCCCTGCCCAGCTGCATGGATAAAGCCATGCTGTCCGTGCTGCCGCAACCACAGAGAAGCTAGCGGCCCACGACCGGATAGCCTCCAAGATCTGACATTTCCGTCTGCGAGAGATAACTCGCTTCTTGGATACTGTTGCTAGCGGTCAAGCTGGTACTGATTACGTATTTTTTCACTGCGTGCACGTGAAACCGTCAACTTGGCCAAGTGTTTGCAGCTGAGTCAACATCACGATCAGCAATTTCGATACCGTATCTGCACACAAGTACATGAACGTTAAAAACGAAAGAAATTAATGGTAAATAATATTAACTTTAATAAAAAATAATATTAATTCGAATAAAAAGTGCCAAGTTAATTTCAGTCAAAATAGAATTTTTTGGCCAAAAAATTAAATGACAGGAAGACACACACCTCACGTGGCATAGTCTCTTGCAATGTGCAGGTTGCCATGGCTTCTCACCGGCCTCTTGCGCCGACGCATACTTCGCGTAAGCCGATGTTACGATGTCCCACGCAGTACACCGCTCAATCAGATCTCCAAACGCTACTGAACACATCTGCCAAGGCCAAACATGCAGTCACTGAGGTGAGAAAAAACAACTGATTACCTGATTCCGAGCCAAGAGTGTGCAAAACGGGGCGTTTTTAGGGGGTGACGATTTCTTAGTAAACAAAGTGATGACTTTGTATCGATTCATTATATTATATTTTTATATTATTATTTAATTCCATTATTTCAAGACTAAAAGGGCTAAAGATCACCAGCTCTTGAAAAATTTAATGTTGAATAAACCAATAGGCAAGAAGAGATGCCCAATCATGCGATTCTCCGCAGATTAGTTCACGGCGAATCATTAAAACAAACAAATATCTAATCATAGTATTGCAAGGGCCTACCAGCAAATGCCCAATGCTGCATGCTACAGGAACAGAAACCAAGCTTCAACGACTAGCGAATATGAGGCCTACCTTTCCAGAGTGTTACAGCGGCGGCGGCTCCGATTGAAACACGCCGGAACAATCGAATTTCCTCGCGGGGTTTTTGATGTCGGCGAGAGGGAGGGGGGGTCCGGCGAAGGCGGCGGCGGAGGCAATAACCAGGGGGTCATCTGCCTGTAAACAGCACACAGGTTCTCGACACAGCACAGACGCACGGGGTGTGATTAGCACTGTGTCGCATAAGAAAACACTGGCCAAAGCCACATGATTCGTAGAAATATATACAGCTTGAAATAGTCGCACACAGTCTCAAAGTCCGTCATTCTCCTTCCGCAGCCTTTATAAATACTATATATAAAAACTATATAATATAATATTATATACTAGATAAAACTAGAACTATATATAACTAACTATAATATATAATAATATATAAATACAATGGGATTAGCTGAATACCTGTTTGCTGTAAAGAGGTTGTGTTGTAGCTTGGAAGGGTTTCCATGCTCTCAACCTGTCCGCAGGTTGTCCCGGAACAGGTAACGCCTGCAACACATAATCACCCATGACAACGACGAGACTGTAGTTACCAGGGGCAGACGGTTTTTGCCTGCAAAAGTAAGATCACCATTTAACATTACATCATACCGCTAAATATGATCATAACTCCTGCCAACAAAAATTTGCGCTTTGCCACAAAAGCAATCTAGAACATCTGTTATAATTCGTAAACGCCACGTGCGTGTCCAACGGCACATACTTTAAGACTTTTACACTCACAATTATACTGCATAAACATACAACTATCGGGGCACGTCAGCAAGCATTTCGGATCCGCAGTAGCTGTGATGATAGTGCAACTGGCCAGCCCCCTGCAAAGCTGATGGCTCACTTCTGGGTTCAATGTTTCCCGAGCCTGCAACCGACAAACGATCAACACGGCGAAGGAAGCGCGGGTCCACAATGAAACACACAGCAGGAATCAGCGACAGTACACATGGAAATCTGTGTGCTTCCACTCCCTCTACCATAGGGTTTACCCTCGCATGAGCTACCACAGTACCACGCTACACTCCTCCAGATAGCAAGTAGACTAGGGCATCAGTTCAGCACCTCCACCGATGTGGCAACTAAGGCAGGGCAGGCCAGCACTAGCACAGTGAAAATGCACTTGAGGGCCATCCACCATTACAGGTTATGTTTGGCCGTGAACTGCACCCCCCCCCTCCACATCACCGCCTGCTCCGGAACACTTTCAATTCCACCTTCTCTCATGTATCAATGTGGCAACAAGCAGAGCAGTCCGCCACAACTAGCACAGCGAAAAATGCACTGAGGGCATCTATCAAATACGCGTTATGTTGGCATGACCTCCCCCCCCACCCATCATCATCACCTGCCAGTACCTCGCTGTAACGACAGCACGATGACGTCACCCGTCGGAATGACCAGGGGTCGCCTTCGTCGTTGTATTTGACGATAGGGCTTCCGAGCCGGGCGGTACGGCAAAGACCCGTGCATCTTCTCGGCGAGCGTAGGCGCCGCCTGTGCCCGAGCTGATACCTTGATGATGCGCCGTAGCTAACCCCACCCAACAGCCGTGCAGCAATGAACAACAACACAACCCAACTGCAACATCAAACAACAACTGTAACATCAAGCAACGACAATAAGCAAGAGCAATACAACAACAACAACTCTATCATTGCAGCAACACCCAACAAGCAACAAACATCAACAGCAATGTATCCGTACACCAGAACACACCGAGCATATATACAGGCGACAATCTTCGCACAACGGAGGGATGCTCACAAGATGTAATGCGTAAGCGAGTTCGAATAATAAGCGATGGCCGATGGACCCGGCCATCAAATAATCAGAGAGGACAATCAGATTTTTTCGACAAACCATTGAATACTTTGGTCCCATTTTTTAGCGGTAATTTTCTTTGAAGTGTCCATGTTCGCAATATAGCCATTAAAGTGACATAACAATTACTGTATCGTTTGAATACATTCATTAGCAGATGTAGGTGATAATTCCAGCCATTTTATCACCATGTAAAATCTCTTTTTCTTACGCTTGCACAACCGGATCTATCTTTCAGAGAACAATTTGAAATTTCAGGAGGACCCTCTAAATTTCAAACCTAGATGGTGCTGTGGACCATCTCTTTTTTTCTCTCCCTATTTCTACCCCTGATTACCGTTCGACTTGCCGGTGTTAGCATCCGTCTTGAGGTCGCAGTATTCGAGGCCAGGGATGAGGTCGAAGAGTCGGTAGACCTGCTCGTAGTGACGGAGGAGGAGACGAGAACGTTGAAGCCGCTGCTGTCCCGTGCCGACGCCGTACATCGACCAGTCCGGCTGCTGGCTTTGGTTGTGGCTGTGACCGTACGCTGCATACATACGCACACGCATGATGAGAGTGAGAGCAGGAGAGAATGAGGGGGAGAGAGAGAGAGAGAGGAGAAGAGGGGGAGGTGGGAAGGGAGAGAGAGAGAGCGATATGATAAGAGGGGGGAGAGGAGAGAGAGAGAGAGAAGAGCGAGAGACGAGAGAGAGAGAGAGAGAGAGAGAGAGAGAGCAGAGAGAGAGAGAGATGGGGGAGAGAGAGAGAGAGAGATGAGAGGGGGAGAGAGAGAGAGAGAGAGAGAGGAGAGAGAGAGAGAGAGAGAGAGAGAGAGAGAGGAGAGAAGAGAGAGAGAGAGAGAGAGAGAGAGAGAGAGAGGAGAGAGAGAGGAGAGAGAGAGAGCCGAGAGAGAGAGAGAGAGAAGAGAGAAGCGAGACGAGAGGAAGAGAAGAAGAGAGAGAGAAGATGAGAGAGAGAGAGAGAGAGAGAGAGAGAGAGAGAGAGAGAGAGCGAGATAGAGACAGAGAAACCTTATCACTTCTTCACAATCTACACAAAGCTATAGCATACTGTGATCGCCATGCGAAGCAACTACTATCATAGGATTAGAAACAATCGTACTACGTTTCACAACCAACGTATCATCCTGCTAAGGACAAAAAAAAATAGGTGTGTTTCCTATTGCATCGAAAACAAAAGTAGGGTAGCTAGGTAAAAAAAATCTTCTTTTTTTTTTAAATACAATTCTACAGGTGTTTGCTAATTTGACATCTTACAGGTTATAAATAGGATTCCAAGTTTTGTCTGTCAGATTTCAAATTAAAAAACCTTTTTTTTCTTTCTTCTTTTTTTTTGGGAAAAAAAGTTTAGGGTTGGCCCTAATAATCTAGGGACGGTCGGTCGACCGGAAACATACCTATTTTTTGTTTGGCCTAAGTAAGTCACTCATAAAACGAACCCATTATGTGGTCATCGCAACATTATCACTATTACAGTTTAAGTACTGTGTACTACTTGGTAATAGTGTCGCGTTACAAGTTATGATTGCTCTACTCATGGCATAAAAGAACAGTTATTTATATACCTTCGGAATATTGGCTACGTGAATCGTAATCCTTGTTATCCCTCTTGTCCCGCTCTCGCCATCCCGCAGAAAACTTGGGGTCGGCAAATTTCGGTCTGTATGCTGCAAAGCACACATATATGCTCAATAGGTCACACTTTCGCATTATAGTAACTGCAATAATTAACTTGATTTGATTGAAGGTCAACATGCAGTTGTACAGTATTCTTTAGATCATACAAATCTCTCTCTTACATAAGTTAATTGTTAGTACATTAGCATGCCTGTCACACCCCAGGAAACACAACGCAGTTGCGCGATGCTATACGTGTTGACGATGCTTTCGAACTGGACAACGTTGTAAGTCACAGCAATACTCCCTGGGTGCACAACCTTGTAAGTGACATCAATGCTTTCTGGGTGCATAACATCGTAAGCGATGTAGACGTTTTCTGGGTGCACAACATCGCAAGTGACAGCAATGCTTTCTGGGTGTACAACAGTGTAAGTGACAGCAATGCTTCTCTAGTTCGCAACACCACTGAGCGGCAGTCACGCCATCCAGGTCTTAACACGCGCGTTGCCCACACTTACACGAGTCGCAGTTCTCCAGTGCCAGTGCCGCGTGAGATGCCTTGTGGAACTTCACATAAGCGAAGCCCTTTGGGTCACCAGTCGACTTATCCTTGATGATTGTCACATAATCTGCGAGAAGAGACAGAGATAAACTACTGGGTGCCGACTCTACGGTTCATACAGCAGAACTTTCAGGGGTGCGTGGACAACTGAAGCGGCCATGCACCTCGGGAGGAACACCATATTCCTTTAGCTATGATCGGAGCTGGTGTGGTACGTTAACCACATATAGCCTACTGTCTACACGACATTTGCGTGGCCATGTAGGCCCGCCGGTGACAAATCAGAGGGCTGGGCCTAAGATAAAATATTGCTGGTTTCCCCTTTACCGACCGACTCGCCAAAACGCCGATACTCGACACATTTTATTGGCCGATTAAAACAAAACAAAAATTATTCGTTCTGCAAAAACATATACACAAAACAGAATATACAATCTACATACACACATCTTGTCAAAACAAAATAAAAAAGATTTTT